TATATTTTAGATTTTTTATATTTAAAATGAGATGTTTATCCTGTATTTGATTGTGTTTATCTGCAGTTAGTTACACGAATTCAGTTATAGGATGAAATCGGATAGGGATGAACGGGTTTAAGAGTTTTAAGAGTTTWAGAGTTTTTAAGAGTTTTAGTCAAATGTTTTATAATATAGTATAGATAAATAAAATCTTCAATAAGATAAAAAAATAAAAAATTATTAATTATGATTTTGTTATTAAAAATAAAATTGAATAGAAGATATGCTAATAATGTATATAAACAAATTTCTTCCAGTATTATTAAATGTAAAATCATTTAACAATAATTTCTAAATTAGCATCATTCAGATATCTTTTTTAATATATAACATCGTTAACCCGTTCCACCATCAAAATCTTCTTTTGATACATATACCTTCCATATATAGATTGACACAATTTAGATCAAAATGTTGAATGTTAGAATAAGACTTAGGGGTTGTTTACCAAATGCTTACTTGGATAAGCGTTTATCAAGTTATATTACCTTACCAGATGAATATGATAAGAACAAAAAATCTTACCCGAAAAAAACGAGGCAAGGACCGAGAGTCTTACCCGGTAAGTGAGGGCAATGACTCTTACAACAATCAGCTCTTACCAGGTAAATTGTTGCATAAAAAGCCGTTTTTGTCAACTAAAATCTTACCCGATAATAAATAATAGTATTGAATTTTCCGGTAAGTGCTTACCAGGTAAATGTTTGATAAACGGCCCCTTAGTATGAAACAATATAAATTATTTGGATTTCTATCTCACATCATGTTAATGTTTTTCATCAACGACATATTCATCTTGATTTAATATTTCTGCTTAAATCGATGTGATAACTGGGTTTTGGGTTATGCACTTGAGGTAATTTTTACGTGATTATTATTTGATTATGTGAAAATATGCATATTTATATATGAGAAAATATGAATGCATGATATTGATAATATGCATATGTGTATGCATGATTTATATTGTTAACATGCATGAAGTTTTGAAATATGCATGTATGTGCGCATAAATTATATTATGCCGGTGATTGGGGATGTGTGTGTGTATGTATAAGGTGATTAGAAGAGATATTTCTTCTTCACCGCCTCTTTGAATTTTATATGTTATCTCTTCTAAACCGCCTCTTAAAAGCAATATAAAAAGAGAGTTTGCTTTTGAAGAGGGTTATATTCAAGTTTGAGAAAGAAAACAGTAAGAGAGAAAGTGTGTGAATTTCTTCTAAGAATTCAAAACTGGAATTGGGGTTAGAAGTTGAAGCAGTTTATGTTGCTGTTTTTGTTGTGTTAAGGTGAGTTCTTGTTTTAAAATATCCAGTCTTTGAACTTGTTAAGGGGTCAGATTTTGTGTGGAACTGTTAGTAAATTTGTGCAGTTATTATGTGGTTATTTTCTAGAGATTTAAAGGTTAAAGAGAACCTGTAATCGGACAGTTTTGTCCGATGATGATTTATCGTTGATCAAAGTTTTATTTGATAAAAGTGGTTTTCGGACGGTATTGTCCGATGAAAATATGTTTAAACTTTTAGGATTAAAAGAGTATTTTTGTATCTTTCAAATGAGGTTATAGATCTGGAAAAGATATTGTTTAGATTTTCTTTCAAGACGGTTGTGACATGAGGTCTGTTTTGAAAGAAATGAGTTTTCAAATGTTTCTTCAGGACAGTTATGACTTCGGTCTATTCTGATTTGAAACAATGTTTCTACGAGACGGTTGTGACTTCCGTCTATTCTAGTACAGAACTATTTTGAGGATGTTTCTACAGGACGGTTATGACTTTGTTCTGTTCCAGTATGAAACTAAACGAGTTTTTAAATATTTCTACGGGATGGTTGTGACTTCAGTCTGGTCTGTTATGAAATTAAATGAGTTTTTAAATGTTTCTACAGAACGATTGTGACTTCGGTCTGTTCTGGTGCGAAATTAAATGAGTTTTTAAATGTTTTTATGGGACAGTTGTGACTTAGCGTCTGTTCCGTATGAAACCACTTTTAGGCCATTATTGACTAAAACTACAGATGATGTTTCTTCAGGATAGTTGTGACTTTGGTTTGTTCTGATATGGAACTCTTCATCTGTAGATTTGAGAAGAAAATATAGGTAGCATATTAAAGAGAGTTGTACCATGGGATAAGAGTGACATATCAAGGATAGGTGTACATTTGGATAAGGGTGGCATTTGCATAACTCTGGTTATTATATTAGCAAGAGATAATAGCTCTGGGTTAACATTTCCCTGTGTAACATCCCCAAACTCATATTGCATATAACACATATTTCATTCACATAATACATGTTCAAGCCCACAAAATTCCAAAGTACAAGAAGCTACAATACAAAATACACAACTCAAAAATTCCAAAATACATGCTCTTGTACTACATATCATCTAATATTAAAATACATCTATCGATCTTCATAAGGCTAAGCACATAGAGAGACAATTCACAATTTGTCTTTTTCCTTACTATCATTATATTCAGCATTTCCTGCAATACATAAATGAAAACACAAAATAAGGGTTAGACCTGAAGGTCTAGTGAGATCACTTTTTCCATGTAATTGCAGGGTGAATATTGCCAAAACATTATTCAAATAAAATCATTTCACATAATGAAGTATAAATCCACATTCTGTTTATGTTCATCAGACCTCTAGTTCCAAAGACCAGACTTAGAAAATATTTTAGCAAAAAAGAGGACCAGAGCTCCTCAGGTTCCTCTACCAGAGCTTCTAGT